TGTGTTTGGGCTCTGACTAATCACCACCTGCACAGCTGTATCTACAGTAGCTGCGTTGTAACAGTGTGTCTGTCCTGTGATGCACTAGTGTCCCAAAAGGGTGTACCCTGCCTTGTGCCTGTTTCTTGCTGCAAAAGGCTCCTGCTCCCCTGTGACCCTGAATCGAAAGAAACTTATCAGAAAATGGATGCATGGATTGCCACTATATTAATAATATATAGGCAGAAAAACTCAGGCACTCAGGTTAAATATCTCCCACCCCCTACATTTTATCCTTTCTCACACCTTTAGAAGCTAACAAAATACGTTTTGGAGAAGTCTGCGGTCTCTGTTTGATTATAAAGGTGGTCAGATCACAGGTCTGAAGCAGTGGAAAAGCACTGAAAGGGAGAAGCAAATAAATATTGTTCTTTTAACTGGAAAGTCTTTTCCAGGACTTCTAACTCTTCATTGTCTACCTCCAAGAATCATATTGCCATACAGATCCTTTTGCCTGGTATTTATTATTCTTATTCTATAATCCTACATTTTATAAAAGTAAAGCCTATTGATCAATCTCACAATTTTCAAGTGAATCTCAGCTCTGTGGATTTCTTGAGAATTAAGAATGAAATATGACCAGAGCACAATTCAATCCACAGAAGTGGAAACTACATGGAAGTGCATTTAAAAATGAGAACAGGAGGCACTTCTTTATTCAAAGAGTTATGAGAATATGCAATAAGTTACCCATCCATGTACTTGTAGTTGTAACTGTATTCTTTTAAGAAATAGCAGATGTGATCCTTGGATTAATTACCTACTGGTTATCAAACAAGACAAAAAACATGACAGGCTGGACGGACTCCTGTCATTTGAACTATTACTATGTTTGTGAATTTTCTTAAACAGTAAACAGTAAACATGTAAACAGCTTATACAGTAGATACCACCTCTTGTGTCTTTCACTATATTTGGTACAATTGAATTTGCTGCTTCTTTCCAAATTGGCCTCTTTTATAGTAATATTTGTTATTGTTGAACTTTCTCTTTTCTTGCCTGTGGCATGTTGTTCATTTTTTTTCTTTGGTACACATGAATGAAATATTAATATGCCAGCCAGACAAGTGTTCTCCTGAGTGCAGGCGAACTCTCTGATTATGGATTCTAGCCTGGGTCATGTCATTAGCCAACTCTGAAAGGGATTTCCCAAGTAACGGCACACAATTGACTGACCTCTGGATATTTGCAGACGTGCTTGTGCTGTTGGTTAGGGATGTGTCTTTTCTCCAATCATGCTGCTGGTGCATGATGACATGTTATAGATGAGTGGCTGAAAGGTGGACAGATTGAAAGAGTCTGATTAGACTTCCTCATTTAGGCAGTTGTCACAGTGTATCTCATGTGAAGCTCTTACCCTCGTAATGAAGTTGGGGGTTGGGCAAAAAGAAGAGTGATACAACACAGAAATCTAAGAGATTTTCACAGCTACCAAATTTACAGCCCCATCCCCCAAGTAGTTCCAGGTAGAACTGTTGTCTTAGTTTTGCCAGCAGCTATATCACCCTGCAACTCACAACTCGAAACCCACTGAAGATAAGCAGGTGTAAGCTAAGATTGCTGCTGGAAGAGGCATTAGTGGGGCCAGTAGGGGGCGCTCACCCTACAGCCTTTACCAATCATGACCTAATAATCTCCATCTATGAATTGGCATCACTACTCTGTTCTTCTGCTCACTGATAGTTGTTGTGTGATAAGCATACTGGGTTGCACATTGATGGTGGTGGAAGGGAGTCCCCATTAATTGTAAGGCGCTTTGAGTAGAGTGTCCAGAAAAGCTCTACAGAAGTATAAGAAATTATTACTACTATTAGTAGTAGTAGTAGATTGCTCGGTAAACACCCTACTGACATTCAACACTGCTGTTTCAGAGATTCTTGGTTCCTGGGTTTCACAACTGGGTCAGCTGCTTTTGCATGATCTCTCCCTGTCTGTATGAGATCTACTGTAGATCTATTTTCCTTCCACATTCCAAAATCATTCTGGCTAGGCTAACTGGTGCTTCTAATTTTTCCCTTTGCATGAGTAGATTGGATGCCAATGATCATGATGAATTCAATGAAGTCCCACATCCTGTCCTGTTTTTCTGCGATTGCCTCCTGTTTGCTGCAATCTTTAGTAAGTTTAAATGGCATTCTGACAATGTAGGAATAATGCCAGTAATGAGTACTTAATTTTGATTTGTTCTAGGACTGTTGTGAACCAAACCTCATCCTTAAGATTTGAAAACAGCTCTGTTTCAATTTCAAAAAGTTTTCAAAAAACTTAAGTTGATCATTCAGAAGAAATATTTATTTCCAAATACTTTACATTAACCATATTTTACTAGGTACAAACACTGTAATTAACAGATTTGTTTCCAAATGCTCTGTACTCATAAATGTAATGAATTACCTCTTAAACAATGTATTAAATATCTTTCTTAGTCAAGTTTAAGACTTAAATAGAACTCTATATTTTGAATAAAAAGCATTTTAATAGGCTTTAATTGTGTTATATTTTGGCATTACAGTAGGTATTATAATATTTAGGCATCATATTTCACGTTTATTATAGTTTGGTATTATTATTATTACTACTGCTGTTGTTGAGAATATTTAACAGTATATTTGCACATACTGTATATGGATATTCATATATATAATATTTTCATTATATTTCAACATATATATATATTTAAACTAATATAGATATGGTGTTAAGAAAAATGTATTTTAATATTTTCAAATAACTTTATTTGCAAAAATCTGTTTTTAAATAATACATTTATGAGATAGTGGTAATCATTTTGTAAAATGTGTCTATGTGCACATGACTAAAATTCCTTGACATAAACAGAAATGTCTCTGCATAATGGCACCTACAGTACCACAGCTATACAATGAAGTTCTGAAAGAGAATTAAAGATTTTGCAATCAGTCCCTTCCATGCAAGTTCCCTTCCATGTCTGAACTTTGAGCAGCTACTCCTTTTTTCCACTTGCTTTAAACCGCAATCAATACTGTTTTGATTATACAGTAGCTTCTGCTGTTTCAGTTCCTCCTATAACTGCTGTCTGAAACTGAGAACAGTATGTACAGTGATAGTGGTAGAGAAATACACCACAAACCACCAATGAAACAAGGACAAATGCACTTTAAAATGATGATGTGAACAATGTCAGCAATTGTGGCTCAGCCTACGTATTTTTTCACTTTTACAAAGTTAACTGGAGACTCATTTTCCCTACTTTTAAGTATGGTATTCAATTATCTTATGCAGCATCTTTTTCTTATTTTTATTAGTTTAATTTTGCTGTTGATGTGTTTCAATATAACACAACATATACAGTATGATGTACTGTATGTTTATGGACATGCTGTGTCATGACCATGAGAATTTCTTATCCCAGGGGTTCCTTATCTTCATTGTGCTGGCAGGGGTTACCAACCCCAGTCCTGAGGATGCATACAGTATGCAAGACAACCTTGGTTAGGTACCTAACCACACAATTAACCTATTAATAGGATTAATTAAAGGATTAAATTCTTTGTTATCATATATTAAAAATCTTTGAGATTTCCTTTTCACTATTGCATATCATAAGTAGTTTAAAATCTCCAACCTTCAAACAGAAAAAAAGTTCAAATAAGGTCTCGGTTAAGTAAAGAACACAGCTGGAATAAAAATAAAAAAAAGGAGTGCTCATGCCCAGGATGAGGAAAGCCCTGCCAGTGATTTATAATCATTCAGGACAAAAACTAATAGGAAACTGGAAAATGTTTTTTTTTTTAAATGTTGGTCCCTGATTAACTAAAGAGCTCAAATGCAACACAAACCAGCAGGTGTGTGAATCCTCATTTGAACAGAACTACTTTTTTTTTGTAAATTCTAACTGCTTCATCCAATTCAGGGTCACAGGGAAGCAAGAGCCTGCAAGTAATCGCAGTAAGCTTTTGGTCCAAGGTACTGTATGAATACACCTTGGATGGGACACTAGCCTATCGCTGCGCACACACTGACACTAACACACTCACACTAGGGCCAATTTTCCTAGAAACCAATTGACTTAACATTATTCTTTTGAAGAATGGAAGGAAACCCAAAAGGGAGAAGAGACAGAACCTTGCAGATAGCACACACATCTCAGTTAAAAAAAAAAAACATTTCGGTTTAACTAATTAAGTCCACTACTAGTAGCCTTTGAAGAAAGAAGATAAACTGCTTACGGGAAAGTCCCAAGAAATTCCCTGCATATAACAATAATTTACAGCTACACAAGTTTCTGTTGAAGCACTATCAAGTATATATCTTAAATTACGCCAAACAACTCCCCAGAATTCAGTGATATTGCACAATATCACAATTAGATTCTATCTAGAATACTTGATTCGCTGTATTACATAAGAGGGTTCTTCAGGAAAAATCTGGAAAAAAAATTGTGATTGAAACCGGAACAAGGTCGATCGTTTCTCTTGAACAAGCAAGACTGATTTCAGCCGTGACTTTAAACGTTATAACTTGTACAAATACAGATTCTAAAGCCATACTCAGATATATTGTAAACGAATCAAGGAGATATACAGTAGTTTATGAGGACAAGAAATGAAATCTGGTCTACTGACCTATTTACGGGCTCCCGGTGCTCTTACAGGCATTTAGAACTCTTACATTTTTAAAAGTTGAAAATGTTGTTGTTACTAAATCCTTCCATTTTAAATGACTATGCCACAGACTGAAAAAGTAAAACGCCCCTAATATAAATATTTCAGACAGGCATTCAAAGTAAAATCTTTTATTTCACTGACAAGTCCTTTGTAGGGCGGGACTCTTTTTGTCGCTACTTCCCATTTTCGCTTCACTCTCACGCCACTAAACTGGCGTTCAACGCCGGAATTGTCCTGGGTGAGTGGGAGTGGAGAAGTAATAGCCTCGCACAGTGAAGAGCTTTTTCCTCAAAGCGTCGGGGATTTTCCTAAATCTTCCGAAAACGATGACTTTTATTTATTGTCCTGCTTAGGAGCGGTGAAAAGGAGTGAAAATGAAAATGTCTAGGTATGTTTATTTTTTTTCCAATTTCATTTTGTATAGATTTAGCTCAACTGGTTTCATCTGTACTACTTTTTAGATACTTATTGCGATAGGACCATTTACCTCGGGAATATGAATATATTAAAACACAGGCGCATGTATGTATGTATAAATGCATCTAATATGATTGCTACATGCGGTTTTAAAGTTTTCAGCAATCCAATGTGTATGTACAGTAGGATAAATCACATTTGCATAGTTTTTCATTATACTGGTGCTAAACTTATTTTAAGTAAACAGATTGAAAATATAAACTCTTTCAAACTATAATCAGTCAGTACTAATATATGAAATTACCTTTGGAAATGTATTCCCATTGCATTATCGCTTATAAATAAGACGTGTCCTTTCAGAAAGTTTAAAACTGACATCAACATAGCCATTAAAGGGTTTATTTACTTTGCTTATGCTCCATAGTGTTCTGTGTACTTTATTTTCACGGCTTCTGGACAGGTAAAATCAGTTTGCTTCATATTATTACAGTGCACAGCATCAATGTTTCAATACACATTTTCAATCTGCTTTGCTATTGTATAGGCGGCACTCTCCCTTTCACACGCGGAAGTGTTCAGTTTTGAAGTCTCGATAGGATTAATTATTCGAACCGCGGCTGTTGCGCTCAATTTATCAAACCAAATTTACAATATTGAAGTCCATCTGGATAGTTTTATGCTCGTTGATACAATACAGGAATGTTTTTTTTTAAAAAAAAAAACATTTTAACCCTATTTGTTATTTTAAGATAGTTGACAGTTTCGTAAAAAAGAACGGTGAAAGGAGTTAAACCGGCGCTATTACAGGCGGTTCATTTTGCAACTCCATTTCCGGGCTGGATAGCACATTCTTCACTACAGATTATTCAGCTATTCCCATTGTAATTATATCAAATCGTGACCCACAAACTATCAGTCGAAACCAAAATAATTATAAATCGCCCTCTTGCGTACAATACTTTTTTACACACTATTTTAAAAATTGCATTATGTTCTGTGACGTTAGAAGCAGTTATATCAAATTTCACAATTATGAAACACTTTCTGAATAAAAAAAGTCTGTTGTTTATGTTATGATTCATCCTTCCTGCCTTTCATCCTTTCTTAGGTAATTCCCCGAGTCTCCGAGACCTTGGTTTACAATAAAGAAGCAGTCAAGGGAACAAAGTGTAGTTTAATTAAAAAATCCAGTGCAGCCAGATTATCTAACGTTAATAGTTTTAATGAATATTGGTAAAATAAACAACAACCCCTATTAGGACAGCATAACACCAGTACTAAAAATGGATAAATGGAAATTTAAAATAAAGTTATGTAACTTCTGGAATTTTTATTTTCTCACAGGTCAAACTATGAAATGTGGAAAGGATTCCTTGTACTGCTCTCTGCATTTATTACTGGTAAGTAATTTAGGAGCCTTCGAAAGTACTTATTGGTTGCAGAACATAACAATAGATGTGAATTGTTTACTTTATTCCTCCAATAAAAAAGCTATTACCACTTGTAACAACGTTTTAACTCCCCAGCATCAGAAGTCAGCAGAACCTGCTGTGGGGCAGGCTAAATCAAACATAAGAGCTCAACTATCAGACCAAACAATCCCCTGCAGAAAAAAAAAAATGTCAGTTTGCTTCATGGATCCAGTTTTGTGGAGCTTTGTGGAGAGAATGAAAGCTTAAGAGATCACCAAAACCTTTTACATTTCCCTGAGAATTTTTATTTTAAATAATTTTGCAGACAGTGTATACTCTCCCTTACATTCACAATCTCTTAAACCTATACATTATTAATACTGTTAGTCATAACTCACCATTCACACAGACTCTGAGAATTCTTGTGACTGGTACAGTATTTGACTGTTTTGGTGACTCACAGTGCTTCAGTAAAGGGACAGTATTTCATTGAATAATGAAAGTTGTGTTTGAACTAAACCAGTTTTTGCATAAATGTATAACATTTCCTGGCCATACTTTAGTGAATTCTTGACACCTGAAAAGGCTCCACGGCCGAAACGTTGTGTTCTCTTTCTTCTTTTTTTCAGCATGGAATAAACCTATTACTTGATACTTTAGTGAATACCATCAAACAGGGGTTTAATTAAATAGGTAGTAATATTCTATAAACAATGTTCTATATAGATATAAATATTAGTATTTCTTAATAGATGCTAGATTCTATGCTCGACTCTTCTTGCCTACTGCAGCTCAAATACACAGTTAGTGAGATTGTTTAAGACTGAATTGCTTTAACCAGATAACTTAAACCCAGAGTTTGCTGTCTTGAAACCGGAGTAATCCTGAAGTCATTTAGCAGGTTAATTCAATACAGATAACTTACAGTAAAAAGTCCTGAATTAGTTCAGCCTGCTTCCTGAAACAGCCCCCCTGTCTATACCTTTTGAGAGTGACAAAAATAAAAAAAAAGATTATAAATGAGGCCTTTCCAATACATTGTAAACAAAGATATAATTTCTCTGTCTTTATATAGAAGAGTCTTCTGAACTCCTGTGTTTAGTTGTCTGCAGCTCAGAATCACTTGTGATACGTATAGGGGTCTCCTTCCCTGGTCCTGGACAGCCCCCCAATTAAATACATGGTGGTGTGACCGTCGTGGTTCCGTGCGGGCTCGTACCCTCACCACTCCACCCCACCGTTTCGTCCCACAACACCTGGCGCACAAACTCGAGTCCAGGCAGCTGAGGTCCCTGCTATGCGCAGGGGGGGCGATGAAGTCACCGTGATCGCACTAGCTCCGCTACAGTGTGTTCAATTAAATGATTTAGACATTGTTTGAAACATAAATCAGATTGACTTCCAGTCCTCAAGGAACAGTGTTCCCTAAATTGAATCATTACCTGCTTAATTGATCAATTAAATAAACAAGTGTTTCTAAACTTTAAAAAGCAGTTCTAGGTGTCTACTCACACTATGATTTTTCTTACCTGCTTTGTAATTTCTGTTGTGGTTTTGTGTTTAACATTTCCATCATTTTGTGATCCATCATCTGTACAAATTTAACTGGTTTCCTACTATCAGAATACAGTAGACTCGCATTTTACACAAACTATTGTTACACAAATATGTGTATACGCAGTCAGTGACAAAAAAAATACAAATACTGCAAATTATATTTCAAATAATGTGGGAAACTTGACAAATTCAAATCTGGCATGGCACACACCTTAGTGTGTAAAATGTGAGTCTACTGTATATCAGAATCTCAGCCAATGATGCAGTACAGGAAGAGCATCTGCCTAAAACGGATTCATGCAGCACCCCATTGCTTACTTCTGCCTGATAAGAGGTTATGGTGCATCCAATACCTTGGATTCATGGCTTTCAGTATGAGAGAATTATTCTTTTATGAACGACCTTATGAAAAGCTTTATAGAAATCTAATAATGTTATATGTGTAAGTGTTATCTAATGCCCTCATTGCTTCTTTGAATAATTATAGCAAATTACTTAAACAAACGCTTCCTAAATCTGTTGGGTGTCTCTTAAAAAGCTGTTTATTTCTGCAGTTTTCTACTCTGTGAGTATTTTTCCCGTTCTGAGTGACTGGAATGTCCTAGCCATGTATATATGATTACCATCCCTCATTTCCTTATTGGGAAAATACCTAAAGACTTGGTGATTTATTGGTATTTACCCATCCTGGCCCCTGGTGAAACCTCAGTTGCTTCTGGGATTTATTCTATAAAACAGAACATTTTCCTGACATCTACTATTGAAAAAAACATGATTAATATAAAATTAATATAATAATTTTTAAATTTATTTAGTATGTTTACTGTTATCATTGTAGGCTTCTACAGTATTAATCTCCTATTATCTCATAAACAGTTTACTCCTGCTTTTACAGTTTTTGTATCTAATTTAATATCCTCTACTAAAACCCTCTTGGGTTCAGATATATCCAAAATTCAGTGCAATCTTTCCATTTTTCTAAGTTTTTTTTCTTAATGCCCCCATTAAAATACATCAGGTTACTTTTTCCTAATTGCACTTCATTGTTTTAAGGGACAAGTTCATTCTTAGCTTTTATCATAATGTTTTTGACGTGTGACTATGCTTCTTCAAGAAAATCTATCTGCTCACAGATCACTGCTTTTAAGTTCTTCCTAATTCCTTCATACTCTGAATTCAATACATTATAAACACTAATAAATCTAACCCATCTAATATCTACCCACGTCTTCTAATTCAGGGTCATGGGGGAACCAGAGACTATCCTGGCAAGCAACCGGCACAAAACAGGGTACATACAGTACAGACATGCACACACTCATGGTCTGGGGCTAAGTTTTTCCAGAAGCTAAATAACCTAGCACTTAGTGTGTGGTCTGTAGAAAGAAGCCAGAGGAACCCACATGAACATGGGGAGAACATACAAACTCCACACAGATAGCACCCCAGGACTTGTACCAAGGGCTCCGGTGCTGTGAGACAGCACTGCTAGCAACTAAACCACTGTGTCACTATTCTGTTTACATTGTTTATCATGTGGAAAAATGAATCCTTTCCAACATGCTAATTTAATATCTTTTTGCAAGTAGTATTCCATTTTTTCTATGTACTGTATGGCTGTCTCCTGTTTGTGAGATAAACATCAGCGCTTCACGTAACTCCTGAAAGGTTTTGAGGTACTGATCATTTTGAAACAGGATAAAGAAGTGAAAAATCTACTTGAGAAAGTATACAAATTGGTGGAAAACTGACCTTGTATAGCCCAATTGCTAGTGCAAAAATCTTGAAAACTAATAGTAACTTAAGTTACTATTGAGGGAATCAAAATGAACTACAGTATTTGTAATACAATTATACTCCAAATTGTATGTTTATTAACACAATTATTATAGTACTCTTTTAATTCTGTATATGCAATTTATTGTGGCTCCAGTGTCTGCTGGTTTTCTGTCCAGCTGGGCTTTCAGTTACTCAATTAAACTAATAATTTAATTTATTGCTTTTTTATTTTCCTGTTACTAAAAATGTGAGGCTTTCAAAATATGGTGAGTTTTTTTACTGGTATAAATAAAAAAAATCAAAAAAGGTGTATAAAATGAGGGGACAGTGAGGTCACAAGGACCTAGAGGGAGCCTTCCTTTATATTGGAGTGGGCAACCCTTTTCCTCATATTGTTTGAAACCCTTATTTCATATTCCAGCAGGATAGAAGCACCTTTTATTTATGATTTAATAAATAACTGAAGAACACAAGTGATTTGATTTTCAATCCACTTAATTAGTAAAACTACATTATTAAGACCTGAAATGGAATAAAAACCAGAAACTAATGTGGTACTTGCAGGCTGGAGTTGCCTATACCTATTGCCTATCCATGCCTGTGCCATTCATACCACTAAAGTTCTAAAATTCACTCCTGGTCTTGGAGGACCTGGAGGTCTTTTGCTTTACTTCTTCCCTTCTATCTTAATGACTTGTTTTAAATCAGTACTGTATATCTCTTAATTGTTCTGTTTAACCACTGTTTCCAGGTTTTCACTCACTGAAAACTCAATCATAGTAGTGGTGGAGTGCAGACCTCTTTCCAGGAATGAATATTATTACCTTAAGCTTAAGACCAAATAATTTCAGTAGATAAGCTAAGCAATGTTTTAGCCAGGTCAGCAGTAAATAGTGTAGCAGTGTTTCGTCAGGATTGTGAGATGCAGAAGACAGGAGTTTCCTGTGGGTTCTTACCAGACACTTATGATTTTTAACCTAAAGTGAAAAGAAGAAGTGAGAATCAGAGTTCGTAGGCATTTAAATGTTGTTTTAACATATGAATGGGATCAGAGGACTACAAAGGAAAACAGAATACTAGGTAATGAACTAAAAAGAAACCTCTGAAAAAGATTAACTGAAACCTAAAAGAATAAGCCATTATTTGGATTTCTCAGTATTCATTTTAAAATAAATACATTATTGTTCATAAAAAGTGTATTTTTGATTACATTTTAACTTACAAATCTTGTTAGTGTTTTAATTTTGTATACCCTTTTATTTTGTTTAAACAACATTAACAATGCTTTCTTTATTTCCACAGCTTGTTCCAATACCTCTCAACTAGGTATTATTGGAGAAGATGTGATGTTGCCTTGTAACTGTGAAATGGAAGAAAACATTGAGTATCTCGTTTGGCAAATTGGTGAACATAGAGTAGTGGATGCGTTTATCAAAGGCAAAAGAAACCAGGATGAACAAGATGAAGAATTCAGGAATAGGACAAAGTTGTTCTTTAAAGAGAAAAAAGGGAACTGCTCTCTTCAGATGTCACTTGTCTCCATAGCAGATGAACATATATATACATGCATCTATGAAACATCTAGTGTAAACCAAGTTCATGTGTCTTTGCAGGTAGCTGGTAAGTTTCTTTTTCTAATAACATTTTAAAGTTTTGTTGCAAGTAGTTCATTAAATATTAATGGTCTTTTCATAGACACATTATCCCTAAAATTCCCTCTAGCTCTTGCGAGTGCTCAGTATAAACATTCTGCAATTTCATTTAGTATAACTCTTACTGTTCTCTGGCACCCTAAAATACTGTAAGCATTATCTGTTCTTCACATTCTCATTAAACTCCATCTTACAGGGTAATTAAATTTTAAGCTAAATAAACAAAATATTATACAATATTATATTGCAAATAAATAAAAAATACCTTAATAATAAAACAGTAGAATGTTCTATTGAAAACACTGAAGAGGAACAGTGGCTCATTTAGAAATAAAAATAACACATTTTTTTTTCGTTCTTATGTAAGCAGAGTGGTTAGAAATAATTAAACTATATGACTACTTTGCAGTACTTTTCTATCAAAGTTTCATATGAACACATACCATTTATATAACTTGTAATTCCTAAATGCGGAGGTAATGCCATTCACCTGCTCTTGAGCTAGTAAGTCACACTAGAATTGTAAAAATGCAAGAAGTGATATTCTAGAGCTATGAGACATTGATTCATCTTTCTCCCCTCTTCATTGCAGCAAACTATAGTAGGCCTGATCTTCAGCTTCTAAGCGAGCCTAAAATAGAAGGTGTGGCAAAAACCTACACCTGCACAACCAAAGGAGGATATCCTATGGGAAAGATTCATTGGCTCTTAAATAATCAAGCTCTTAATGTGACAATGGATGCCAGGCATGATACTGATCTGAGGGACAATATCACTGGCTGTTACAACCTCTCAAGCTCACTGACTTTAAAACTCTTCAAGAGTGATGTTCTCTCTTGCTCTGTGGAGAACCCTAGGTTACAGGTTAACCTCACATCTTCTATTTCCTCACGTAAGGCTTTTCAATTTTGCTTTTATTTGCTTGGAGCAACAGAAAATAATCATGGAAATTGTTGTGTATATTGTCATTGTTAGTTCTTTTTTCAGGTTATGACATTTTTTCTAAATATTTTTGCAGCTTCTGCATTTATAATCGTCATTATAACTGCAAACTCTAGTTAACTGTATAACTGTATCTGTAAAGTTCACTAGTCTACAAAGTGTACTAGAATGTAAATTATTGATATTAACTATCCAGGAAATAGCAAAAATGCAGTTTTGCTGGGTACCAAGAGACCCCTTGCCAGTTGTCTCTGGTTAAGAAAATAAGAAGCCAGGTACATGTAAGGAAGGATACAGTTCATGCAAAGCTTGTGATTGAAGTGACCTTATGCTGTATTTCAGTTGGTTGTATTCTTTATAATCCGGTCCCTGCTATATAGAGACCGTGATGAATGGTAGGCCGAGTTCCAAGTGCTCCAAGTTCAGTGGAGAGGAACTGAGTGCAGCTCAATGTTGGAGCACTGAAAAGGCAGGGAATGGATCTTAAATAATCATAATCCATAAATAATTGGATGATGGGGATGTGCCTAACTGATAATTAACGGGAGCTGAGAGATGCTGTGGTTCCCTGTGAGAATGCGCTGGTTATTGGGGGTAACACTGAGCGTGTGTTGCTCCTAGGCTGGTGGTAACAATGCTTTTACTGTAGAATGTGCTTACTACAGTATAGCTGAAATTAGATAACTAACATCTGACCTTATATTATCTTCTAGCATTTTGGAACCCCCCTCCAGAAATTAAAAGCATCACAATATCAACAGCTGTTGGCTGTATTGGTGTGGCCCTGTTTGTGGTAGGAATATGGCTACTGATAAAATTACAGGTATGAAAGTTTTTTTTTCTTTAATGTGTTTAACTATATACAGTATATTAGAAGAAGTAAAAAAATATATAATAAATTCTATTTTCTTTAGAATTTATTTTGATTATGAAGGTGGGCTTTATTTTTTAATAAATAATGTCAAAATACAACTTGTTTTTGTTAAATTAGGTTAGTTTTATGTACTCTTAGGTCTTGATGAGGACTACATACAGTAAAGGTTAAATACACTATGTCTAAGTATGTTAAACCATAACATCTTAAGGGGGTATACTTATTTTTTCACCACACTGTAAATATAAATGATCTATTGCTTTTCTCCATCAATGTATCCTTAAGCTTTCTCTTCTGCTAAGCAGGATAATTCATGAATTGCTGTGAGCCCAGCATTAGTTTATGAACACCTAGAAAGTGGAATGATTCTATCAAGTTTTTTTTCCCAAAAAAGAAAATCTACTAATTGTATTAAGTGTATCATAACTATATAAACATTTACAGTAACACTTGTTAATATGTGGCCTGTGTAGTGCATAAACACTAACACCAATAGATGCTTTCTCCCTAGAAATGAAAGATTACTTGCAAGAGATAACTTAGGATCAGGTATATGTAGTTTTGCTTGTACTTGGGTCACTCTGCTGCCATGTACAGTATTATAAACCCTTAGGTTCTATTGCACCTCAATTTCAGTAATTAATTTTCACCCATCATTTGGTGTCTATTTTTGCACTTTAGTACATCTGTTTGATATGAATCTATGGGCCATATTTTTACATTTTCAAAGCCCTCTATGCACTCACAAACCAATTTGTCCAATGTGCAAATTTCCTACAAACAGACTTTGCCCACAAGTGGGGTTTAGGAATTGAAGTTTAGCACTAACTTGGCAAACTAATGTTATCAATGGGCAGAGGCTGAACTCAGGGTGGAGTGCCCTTGTTTAAATACAACTATAGTGATATATCAACCTATCAACAAATGATAGCACCACAGTTTACACACTATTTAACTGAACTGTTAAGATCCTGTCTATACTTTACAATACTACAAATACATCTGATACTACCAGAAAATTCAAAGAGAAATTGGTAAAAATGTAGCTCTGTAAATCAAAGAAAAATATTTTTTGAAAAAATCAAGGCAGAGATGGGAATATGAAGATTTAGATTCCAAAAGATTTAGAATTATTTTTGCTTATTAGCTTATTTAATGAAAAAATTTATGCAATGATTTTACATACTCAGAAACATCCGGGACCTGAACTGTGTCAGGTTGATCAGAAAGGAGGAGTGCGGAGGGAACACTTTGCCTATAGCAGTAAGGGTCTACAGTGCACTTACATGCTACTGACCCATGTGTAGTGCAAACTACTGCAGCTTTTAGTAAAGTTCACAGTGAAATTCATAATATCCCTGCTTCTTGCTGCATAACACAAAGTGGGGGGGGCATTAAACATATACAGCAATCCACACCAACACAGTTTATAAACATTTAAATGGCATTTCTTCATCACAGGTATGTCTTCAAACTCCTCTGACTGTGCTCATCACTCAGTCCTTCACAGTTTTGAAATTCTCTTTGATTTGTATCACTGGTTCATTTGGTTTCCTTATCAGCATGCATCTATTTACACTTGAGAGCCAACCTCTAAATCACATTTTGATGTGCAGTCACAGTGGTTTATGGATGTTCCCATTTTTGTAGGTGTAAAATTAGTGATTTGGGCCTTAATTTTTTATCTTTGTTGTACAGCACAAATTAAACTTTACTTATTTACAGACTTAAATAGCTGATAACAGCTTGGACATTTTGCTGGGCTATAATGGAATAATTATGGTGGTACCAGAGATTCAGAGATGACATTAGTTCCTTTATTTGTATTAGCAATTTTAATTTCACTTAAGATAACACATTTTCCTAAAGCTAGCTAAGAGAGAACCTTAACCTTAACCTTTTATCTGATACAGTCTTGTCTTTTGTTCTAAAATGCATTTTTGAACTAACCAAATTACAGTCAGGCATTTTAAAAATGTATATTATAGATAAGCCAGCAGCCATATCACCCTGCAGCTCTCAACTGGCTACCCACTAAAGCAAAGCAGGGTTGAGCATGGTCAGTACCTGGATGGGAGATCTCCTGGGGAGCTATGGTTGCTGCTGGAAGTGGTGGTAGTGGGACCAGTGGGAGGTGC